TGACATGATAAATGTCTTAACTAACCTTTCTGTGGTATAATGATTTTGCAATACATATATATATATATAAAGTCATTATGTTATACATCTTAAACTTACACCATGTCCTATGTTAATTACATCTCAATAAAGCTGGAAAAGTAAAATAGGAAGAGAATGATACTTTAAATAAAAATAAAATAAATAAATTCTTTAAGTAAAACCATATGCAATCTCAAAAAAAGTAGGTTTTGGAGTCAAACAGGTATTTAAATATTAGCTCTGCTACTTTATCGCTTATGTAAACTTAGACAAGTTATTCAGATTTCCTACTTCTCAGTTCCCTCATCTGTTGTGCGGTAATAATAATTCTATCTCATAGGGTGTTTATGGAATGGTCTGCATAACACACAGTAAGTGCTCAATAAATATTTCCCACTTATTTAGTTTATAACAAGACGCGTTTTTTAAAAATGGTTATCAGTTTTATATATAAAAGAGGATAAGGAAAGAACGATCAATTAAATAATTTAAAATAGGTAAGGGAATCTCATGTTTATTTCTTTAGAACATTAAAATTGCACTTATTGTAAGATGGTATAATAGCTGACTATGTTTACACAATAGTTAGCTTAGTACAAACTAATTAGTGAATTTGTCATCATCCAAAAAGTTGCTGAAAAGAAATCAAAGTGATTTAAGTTTTTAAAAATTTTCAACCAGCTGTGTTTGCTGAAAATTTGTGTAGCAAGAGATACATAGAAGTAGGGTTTATGGTGCTGAGCAGGTTTTCTTTTTCTTTCTTTTTTTTTTTTTTGGCACTTAACCACATTCTCACCTTTTGAAATTTTGGGGATGAAAGAAGCTTTATTCTTCTTGCCATATCTCCAGAGAACATTTTGTACAAGAAAAAAGTATTTAGGGAAGATTCTTGGACACTGTTTTATAAACTACTATCCACATGTTCCACATACAGATTCACAAACTTGTTCTTGAGCTTATTCCTTAATCCTTTGTTGTTAGAATAATCTGGAAAGGCTATAAATTAAAGGAAGTAACTGCTAATATTTACAAGTTCATTAATGTTGTAACAAGAAGTATCATATTTTTCCAAGTCAAGTAGACTGACAGAATATTTGAAGGTTAAAGGATGTAAGTGCCGGTTATGCCATAACGGTTACTCTAATCTCTGTGGTGTTTTCCCAGGCCCCATATTTCTCTTTCTTCCTTCCTTCATTCTTTCCCTCCTTCCCTTCCCTTTTTTTCTTCCTCTTCTTCTTTTCTTTTTTTTTCCTGGAGCAGTTGCATTGGTTTCTTTCCATATCATCCATGAACATTCATCCATGGAAGGATTCAAATGCTACCAAAGGGATTCGACAGTGGAATTTTAAATGGGATCTTACTTCTTCAAATAAGAGTTGTTTGGTGCACATTTGCAAATTGCAGCACCATTTTGGCTGTTTTTCTCACTAAGATGTTTCCTATATAATGAAGAGTGAGGAGGTATAGATCACTGGCAGTAAGAACACTTTAAGGAGGTAGGAAGGGAAAGGTGAAAAAAAGAGGATAAGAGCTGTTATAGTTGAATTTAATGAACAAAACTGTTTCTAGGACTCTGGTCTGTGCTTCATTCGATTTCCTCAACCTTAGCTTTCCTTATTCCTTCTAAACTTTGCCCGTCTTATTCCTTTATCCATCTCCTCTACTGAGACTCAACTATATGCAATCAGTTAAAAGAGAAAGTATAAAGAAGAAACAAAAGTAGCACTTAATTAAAATAGCTGGAGGGTTTTACTGTTGGATTTTTTTAATGAAATGGTTCTATGTGATTTTTTAAATTTAAAATAATAGCCAAAGCATAGTAATCCACAGGAACAAGAAAATAATAGTAAAAAACACAATTCTCTACAAAAATGTTCTATATCAAAAAGGATTGCCACTATCTTGGTAAATTCATTGTTTCATTTTGCTCATACTATTTTTCTCAATTTCTTATTAAGCAGAATTCAAATGAAAGTAAAGTAAATATAGTATTATGTTTTGGAAGGAAAAAAGTGCCCAACTTTTTTCTTTATTTATTCAGGACAATTCAGCTCAGTAGACTTATACAGTCTCTGGAATTCAATGTCCGGAGTTGCTAATGCTCACAGTCCTGTCAAGAAAGGATTGCTGATGGACTCGCTAGTGGGCTGTAAATGTGGAGATGGTAGTTCATCCTCTAAATCAAATAGTTAGGAGTAAAATCATAGGCATTAATGAGTCTGGCATTTCCTGGAAGCTTTCAAAATTAATCAGGTTGGGTGTTTTTGATCCAAATACTGGTGTAATGAGTAATTCTGAAATGTTTGCTAAAGCTCTGGAAGAGGACACTGGAGATAAGTGTCCAACATGCTTTCAGAGCATTAGTTCTCAAACTTGGCTGCACATTGGGATTGCTTTGGAAAAATCTAAATCAACTGCTGCCTGGGTTCTACCCCCCACCCCCGAAATTCTGACTTTACTGATACATGGTGCAGCCTGGGAACCAGAGGTTTCAAAGCCCCTCGGGGGACTCTAATGCCCAGTCCAGGTGAGCCAGTGATCTAGGGAATGGGGCAGTCTGCAGTGCAGCTGAGAGTCACGTGTGGTCTGAGGATCTGTAGTATCTTCCTGTGAGAAATAGAGAAGCTGAGGCTCCCATTCCAGATTCATGGAATAAAATACGCATTTGAACAAGACCCCTGAATGTTCCTTATGCACATAAGTTTTGAGAAACATTAAGGCACCTGAGTCCACCAGAGTCCCTGAATGGCCAGATGAAGGCTGTAATCGACTTTCCTAGCCCTAATCTCCTCCACTTAACCAAGCAGGCTTCAATCTTAATTTTGTTTTACCAGCATGCCTTCCTGATGGAAAGACGTATTTCTTTATTATCATGTATTAAGTTGGATTTCAGATAAAAGCCAGACTTCAAAGGTCTATAAGAATTTTCTGAGTAGGAAGAAAGCTTGTTCCATTATAGTGCCCATAAACAGTGGCTTTCAACTCCAGCTACATATTTAGAATTACCTGGGGAGCTTTTAAATATAGTGGTCCCACACCAGATCTATTGAATTATGATTTCTGTGAGTGGAGCCCCAAACTGGTATATTTTAAAGCTCTCCAGTGGAGTGGAGTGAAGTTTACAGCTAGCTTTGAGAACCAACATGGACAAACTATAAGTTTATTGACTCTGTATATTGGTATCTCACTTAATGCAGATATAGTGGGTCAGTCATTTTGGCTTCTTTCAAGACTGGTAGCAATCACTTTCTTAAAATGTATTGATCTGCATTATAAGATCAATGAAATATTCAGTACATAGTAAGTTAGTATTCATTTCAGTTTATCCCTTTTCATATTTAACAATTGATTACATTAATAAAGTAATGACAAACATATGAAGCATAATGTCTATGTAATAGGAATATTTTACCTTACAAAAGAGAACATTTAATTTCACAGTGTTTTTGCTTTGCCAAATCTTTAGATAAGTATAAAAATGAGTTTTTACTCCTCAGTGCCTGCCAGCTGAACAGTGCAGAGACACCCGTGGGTACTACTTAGCAAGAAGACATCGGCTGTCATAAAAAATCCACAAAACAGATACAGTCCAATACGGTGTTCTGGCTCAGGAGCCAAAACTGCATATAAGGTGAAATGATACACATAAACTGGATTTTGGTCTTCAGACACAGTTGAAAATGATTAGGAAATCAGATAACTAAATGGATACTTGGGCATATAACTTAGTTAAGAAAAACAAGCATGTGACTTAAGTAAAAGGAGCAGGCTTAACTCTAAAACACTGCCAAATAATTTTAAAAATAAACTCCACAAAGTATAAAAAAATTGGATAATCCACAGTTAAAACCTGCTCTAGAATAAATAGTTTTTGTTTCTATCTTGAATATAAAAGCTCCAAGCACAGAATTCCATTGCAAATTGAATTTGGTGATTCTTAGCTAAGTCATCCATTTGGGCCCTTAGATTTTCCATTTATGAAGAAATATTTGTCTTTTAAACAAGCACTGCTCAGAATGACATTTTCAAGTACAAAGATAAATGCAAATATTATCAAGCCACATGGTCTTTGAGATCCATGCGCTGACCTGTTGGGAAGGGCGCCTCTGCCCAGGTGCTAGAAGACTTTAAACCTGACCTTCTATGATCAGGAAGGGGTTTTGAACACGAGTGATTTAAATTAGTAATTTATGTCATTAGGTAATAACATAAAATTCAAGACACCTCAGGCTACAAATGATCTTATTTCAAAAACTTCTCTCTTTTCCGTTAGGCAGTCATTCTTAGATGAAATCTTTAAGTGAAACGAGAGTCTTTAATGGCCTATGAAGAAAATTTATAATGGTAAATTATACCTAAATATAAAGTCATTATATATTTATGACTAAGTGCTTAATAAATGATGAACCCTTTAATTGAGAACAATCCCGTTATGTGTACATTATACACTTTTTTCATAAATCTGTTACTGAAATATTACCATTTTATCATTTTCAAGTTTCAGAAGCAAATCACATAACAGAAAACAATGGTGTTGAAAAGGTTCTGGGAAATGTAACAATTGGTTTAAATAGGTAGCGGTTTATACCCTTTGGGCAATCATGGTTTATTTTGTCCTTTTGGAGTTTTTTAGAGTAAGTAGAAAGGTCTCTGCATCTATTAAGTTTAAATGTCATGCTAAGAATGTATAACCAAACAGTTACGGGGCACGATTATGAACCATATGGAGCATAGAGAAAACTGTTCAGGAAGGGTACTGCTTCCAGACTTTTCTAGGACCTGCCTGAGGCTAAGTTACTTCACCATTATTGACAGATGCCCCATCTTTAAAATCGGAAGATTTGGCTTGATCAACTCCAAGGTCACTTTCAATTCTCAAAATATCCTATGGCTTAAATTCTGGTTTAGTCATGATATAGTATGAAAAATAAACAAGGTAACATATTTCAATTTTGAATTTTGATTTAAAAAATACTTACAGTTAAGGCTGGTGGTCCTGGAGGTCCTGTATCTCCCTAAAATAGATGAAAGAAAAGTTGCAATTGCCCATAGCCTTTTTTGCACGTATTTATACATTTTCTGAATGGATGGACGCAATAGCTAGATAGATTGTGAAGGAATGAAGAATACAGTTTCATCTGAGAAAAGTCTCTGCACAATGAAAAATTTATCATGAGCTTTTAGCTCTCATGATATAAATGTCACCCTGTGCACCCCCATGCTTTTCACAGCAGCAGAACTTGCTTTTGAAATGCTAAAATAATCTAATTTTCTATTCTTTTGTCTACGAATCCAAAATTAGAAAGAATATGTCTTCAAATACCATTACTTGCCAATGGAGCAGCTGGGAAGTGTCACAGTGACAGATAATTTTTCTGACAAAGTTAGTAAGAAGATCACCAGAAACACTAAGTGGATCTCCCCCCTTCACGCCTACCAGCTGCAGGCGGCGGTCCCGTTGCCGCTTCTGAAGTTCTGCTAAACTGGCATTGTGCTTGTCACCAATAGTAAAAGGCTTTGCCCCCTTACGTATTTTTAAACGCTGAAGTTGCTTCGCTGACCTATTCATGTGAATACAAATTGCCAGGTGAATATTTTGAGAAAGGAGTTGAAAGTTTTAAAAAGTGGTTCCTCTGAAAGCTCGCTATTTTCCAATTTCTCTGTCACCTATATGCTTTATTGTATCATGGCCCCCATTTATTCCCTAAGAACCCTGAGTCATTAGGGCCAAGCATTACAACACCGCGGCCGCTGTCAGGTAGCCACCATGGGGACCGCATCCTGTGCAGCATGGGTCTCTGGGCTGTTGGGTCCTCATGCTGAGAGCACCTCTATGGCTTTCTCTTTTCTCATCTGATACAGTCACCTCAAAAGCCAAGACAGCACTTAGTCTTCAGTACTTTTTGAACGACTGACTAAAAATAACCAATACTTATTAAGGAACATCAGCGTAGCTCAGTGGGTCAGTGAGGACCAATCTGCAAGATCAAATTTAGCAGAGAGGTAAATACTGAAGAGAGACGAGGATTTCTAAGTGTGCGGAGAACGGAGAATAAAATGCAGAGCAAAAGATGCCCGCATATAATTCTCATCAAATTGGGATCATCCAGTCAGTCACCTTCAAAACGACTCTTGCTTTTACTATTTCTAAATCTCTTTTCAAGGTCGCTGCCAGTAGGCATTTTATAGTGAGGAAAAAGTGGCAGGAATGGGAGTGGTTAGGCTCAGCCTGAGACGCAGCGTCAGCCTCCTCCCCCAGAAAGGCCACCTTGCTCTACCCTTACGGCCGCAGTTCAGCGCAGTTGGCGATGTTCCCTGACACGGGACACACCTTCCGATTTGGTAGTGGAAGGCCTACTGCTGTTAAGCAAGGGAGAGAAAAGGGAAATCTTATAAACATGAATTTATGTCAAGCAGCAATTGTGCGTTTAGTCTCTTCAAACTAATTAAATAAACCAAAAGGTTTTTCTTGTTCAGATGCTTTTAAACATAATAGCCTTTGGTTAATTTTAACAAAATTAACTTTTGGCAGTTAGACACTATCATTGAAAAGTCTCTGCATAGGTTCTCAAGGTTTTCTTTAAAAAACTGGCACTTTTCTGGGCGAATACACTACCTTTTCTCCTTTTGGGCCCGGTGGACCACGAGGACCCAAGTCACCTTTCAAACCCTGTAGAAAGAATACAACCAGTGTGATTTTTATACACAGCTCACAGAAAGCTTCAATTTCTGACAAGTCATTAGTCACAAAATAAATCATAATTTACTGAGCTCCCAAATCCCATTCTTCAGATTGTAGTATAGTGAGAAATAGAGACAAGTGGCACTAAAATGATAAGCAACATCTGCGTTGCGGTGGGTACAGATACATTAAATCAGCATGAGGCCTCAATACTGCATATTTGTGCAACTTTGCTTCCTGCTAAAATTACATTAATTCACCATCTGGGGGAACATCATTTAGATCTATACGAGCTTTTAAGTATCCACTTTGGATTAAATTTGTGGATGTTGTAAATACCTTTGATTTAGCATTGATTTGGCCTTTATAAAGCCTGCCAAAAAAATTCAAGAGTTACATCAAAAAACACTTTTACATCTCTATGAAGAAATCTAATTGTGGGGGAAATGGAATGAAGGATGTATTCTTTTCCTATTGCTCACAAGCTGGAGCTCAAATGCAATCTATTTCCTGCTTCCAAGTGTGTTTTCCTTCTCGAATCCCTGGATTTATAAAGATACCAAATGAAACTATGTAAGACATGGACAGCATATCAGATAAATACATTGATGAATCTTCCCGACTCTTAGGTGTTTCGGTGGGTAGGTATTTCGGTGGGCAGTTTCGGTGACTCAGAAGTGACAGCACTCGGGAGTCCCACAGTAGGTGGTACTGGGGCTGTTCTGCAGCCGAGTGTATTCACAGGGTAAACGGAAAGTTAGACGGACATGTCCTGACCCTGTGCGAAATGGGAAAAAACATCTTCCTTTGTCCTTAATTGAACACATTGGATGGGGGAAGAACAGTAATGGAAAAACGAAGGAAATACTCTGAAGCTGCACAGCGTTCAGTAAATCTAGACGGCTTTCCGTTCCTAGCTGAGCATTCAGCTGGCGCTGCTCTGACACTGTGTAGTGGATAAACAATGCCAAAAGCCATCGCCAAAAGCTACTCAATACACAAGCCAATAATGAATTCAAAGGAATGAAAGAAAACTCGATACTTGAAATAATCTTGCTGCGGAGAGTATGTGAAAACTGTAGGCTTACACTAAAAAAATTTAATGGATGAAAACATCATCCAATTGGCAAAAAAGCTTTGGAGTTGCATAAATACCTTTGTAGGTGAAACAATCGGTACATTGTTTCCATCATTACCTTGGAGTATTTACGGAAAAAGGATGAGTGAAAAATATGAACTCATATTTGAGATGTGATATTCTGTGTTTATCTGAAATAGCCATTGCTTCCCAAATCAAGCAAATGTACTTTCTTTACACATGCCCCTGGAATAAAGCTTGACACCCATATTATGAACACATGGGGAAGGAAACTGCTGTTTCTGTGGATAAATTTTATTAATAATTCACTCATTCACTTGCCCATTTATTCACCATGTGCACATCTATTGTACAGCTGTGTGCAGTCACTCTCCAGCCTTTAGACTTGCACCATGAGCCACGAGTGGCTTTTGAGTCCTTGAAATGAGACTAGTCTGAATTGAGGTGTGCTGGGAGTGTAAAATACCACTGGGTTTTAGATATTTCATACAAAAATGACTGGTAAAATTTATTAATGAGCTATTTTATATTAATTACATATTGAAATAGTAATATTTTGGGTGTATTGGGTTAAATAAAATGTATTATTAAAATTAGCTTCACCTGTTTCTTTTACTTTTAATGTAATCTAGCAGTTAGTAATATAATCTAGAAATCTAGTAATGGCTATTAGAAAATGTAATACATTTACATTTGTTTTGAAATTATAATATAAATACATATACATAGAACATTATAAAATATACAGTAATAATATAATATATTCCTATTGGAGAGTGCTAGTTACAGATACAAGAAGGAACTAGTTGTTGACAAACTCTCTCTGACCGACCTGCACTCAAGTGCCTTTGTGTCTCTTTGTGACGAGGCCTCAACTTTGGCCCCTGACCTGTCCTGTCTTTGGTCTGCCCAGCCCAGTTTTAGGGAGAATCTCACTGAGTTAGGTTAGAGAGAATCTCCCATGCTTGGTACCTGCCCGGGTCCCTCACCCCTCCACCTCTGATGTTGAAATCTGTGGCCTGCCCTTAGCAAGAATCCCGTGAAGTCACTTTAGCAAGAATGCCCCTGCCCTTGAGACCTGCTCTTACTGCCTTTCCACTCATTGACCCTGTCACTCTGTTCCTCGGCTGCTAACTCTCCACCTGAATTTGTTGCACTTGGAGTTGAGCCCAAGCCCTCACCTCTATTATCATACCTCATTCCAACAGTCTTGAACAAAAAAGTCTTCCTTACCCTTTAAATAAGTGTCGGGATCATTTTTTCCTTAGCAAAGTAAAGATTCGTGACCTCACAGAGCTCATGTTACAGGAGGAGGGTGACTGACAATAAACAGGTCAACAGGCTCCATGTGTTAAGAGTCAAGGGGGGAGACCTGCTCTTCGGAAACAGCCTCTGAGTGGAGGTGACATTTATTTTCAGAGGATCCAGCCTCGCACGGATCCTGAGGAAGAGCACCGGCCACAGAGGGTGCGGCAGGGGCAGGGGGAGCGCAGATGCAGTCACGGTTAGGCGGGGGTCGTGGCATAGGGAGAGCAGACCACGGGAAGGAGGAGGCGTTGTTCTAAGTGTGGCGGGAAAACACGGTGTGTTTTAAGCAGCGACATGACGTTATTTTGTCCCAAAAAAATCACTTTGGCTACAATGTGAAAATAGACTGTAGGCAGCAGGCACGAGAGCAGGAGAGGGGCTCCCGCAGCTCCCCAGGGGGGAGGGCAGGACGGCTGGGACAGGCGGGGGGCCTGGAGGGAAGTGCGCACCGGGCACCCGGCTTGCACACCCGCCTGGGAGTGGGCAGGAGAGCGGCGGCCGAGGTTGGCTCCTACTTGGTTTACGCACCTGTCTAGGTAGGGCCATTTTTTACTGGGCTCAGAAATTTATTAAAAAGAGGTTTTCTCTCTTTTTAATGCTATCCAGAGAAAAGACACACATGAAGAAAGAAATGGCTGAGAAAGACACCAAGTATCTCTTAATTCAACAAATACTATTGAACATCTACAAACATTCAAGACTGAGCTCAAAATTCCTATGAACATATGAATATGAAAACTTTATTTTAAAAAATGGATGGAAACATAAACACAACGCTCAGGAAAATGGTTCACCCCACCTCTGGAGTAGGCCTAGGATCACACTGAGTTTAGGGTACATGGGCATTCCAGATGTTTCTATGAGTCATAGTCATTTTCTATGCTACATGTTACAAGCATATTATTCTTAGCCATTAAATAATACATTAAAATTTTTTCATTACTCATAACTGACAAACTAACACTCATTGCAACTTCTGGGAAGGGACTCTGGCTATTGAGCCAGCTAACCATCCTGGGTGCCACCCCCCATGGTCAAGGACAGGGTGGGGGAATGTTGCCACCAATTACCCGTCGATGTGAATACTGAGTGCTATTATAGAAGCATATAACCCGTGTGGAGGGAGCGGGTCCAAAGATGCCTAACTCTACAGGAGGTGCTCAGGACTTCAGAGATGCAGAGTTTAGCAAAGTAGGAAAGGAGTGGTATTTTATGCATAATTTTGAGTAAATTACTTAAGCTTCCCTATATTATAGGCATGAATACTAGTTATCTTAAAGGGCTGTTCTGAAAAATCAACACTTAGCACATGGCAGGTACTTAATAAAAGTCCTTTTACTTTTCAAGTCTAAGTTTAAGGGACTTGTTCAGTTTTGTACGCAGTCTGATGGATTTATAACAACTGTGCTTTAACTCACACAGGATACAATGCAGCTGAGAAGGACTGTGCTTGCCAAGCTCCTACGTGGACGGTCCCTGAAGTGAGCCCGCGTACCTCCCGTCCTCTGGGGACAAAAGGCCATGCTTCGGAGGCCATGGCTCACCACGGGCTCGTTCGGAGCAACAGATCGGTGATGCTTTTCTCAGGAAGATTTCCTCCTCGCGTCACCCCGCTGCTGCTATCAGTGGTTATTGGGGACCGGGGAGCAAAAGACACGGCATTCGCCATAAAGCATAAGGAATCTAATGGAACAGACTCTGGCTTCTGTACTGGATAAGCTGGCTGTCTATTCCCCAAGTTCTCAGTAAAACTCACGTATATGAAGACTCTCAAAAGCCCAGCAGCTGACCGTTACTAGGAGACAGAGCTCCACCCGAAGGCAAGAGGAAAGCCTAAGGCCAGCATCAAGACTAAAATGACAACAGCAGGTAGACTATGAAATCAACCTGTTACGGAGGACCGACTACTCAGGGTATGCAGTATCTTTAAAAGTCAGAAGATGATACAAAAATAGTATTGGTTAAAATTTTTAGCCCATCAATTAGTTCTGGCCCCACCTTCCCACTGACTGCATTTTATTCTCAGGCAATGGCACCAGCTGCTGTCAGCTGATAGCTGAGCTTTGTGGTTTCAATATTTTTGTTTTTAGTAATACAGATTGCACTGGTATAAGGAGATTAACATGATTACTTTAGAAACATCAGATGCTGTAATTCTGATCAAGGATGTTTGAAAGACAATAATAAAGATGCAGAGAAAGAGACTAAACTCAATGACTGGAATTGACTTTTCTAGGATTATGTAACTTCACAAAACCAAATATTTCAAAGATTATATAACACCACAAAAAGATATTATGCAACTCCAAAAAATCTATTTCTATTAGAGATAAATGTGTTTTATTTAAGCCAGTTTTTAATAATAGCAAATGTTTACATAACTCTTACTGCATCCGAGACACTCCTCTAAATGCTTTACATGTGATAACCCTTTAGTTCTTAAAAAAAAAAGTCTTGAAGTACATGCTGTTGATATTATGATCTCACTGTGCAAATGCATAAACTGAGGAACAGAGAGAACAAGTAAAGTAAAAAGTAGTGCCAGGTAGGCGGTGGCAGAGCTGGGATTTGAGTCCAGGTAGACTGGCTTCGAAGGTCACATTAACTTTAAAAACTCCCTTTAAAGTCCATTGTAAGATGCCATTGTTGAATGTATCACATAGTAGGTCACAATCAAAATCATTTAATTATAAAGTTGGATGTGTATAAAGCTGAGGTCTTGTGTTTTGAGGTTGCAAATGCTAGCAGTTCAAATTCTGCACAATGTCAATAATTTTGGTATGCATTATTTAAACTGCAAGGGAAATATGAGCAGTCTTTAGTCCATACTTTTAGTTCAATATGTTGGAGATCAAGCTAATGTTTATACATGTACATACACACACACACACACACACACACACACACACACACACACACACACACACACACACACACACACACACACACACACACCATAAAGGATGCATTTAGAAGGATATAGGAACATTTTTTTTGCCCCAATTATTAAGAGCTGCTAACTAGCATTTAGCTGGTGAGCCTCAAGGATGCTAAACCTTTTGCTCTTGCAAGACAGTTCCACGTGATAAGAATAGTTTTGCCCCAAATGCCAATAGCATCCCATTGAGAAAAGCTGAACTGCTGCATACTTTCAAAGGGATTTATGTTTTCCAAAGTGAGCTTGCCCATTTTATGGGGAAGCTGGCACAGAAGAAATTATTAAGAGATACATTTAAATCAAGGTATAAGTAACATGCAAGAATAAAAACTATAAAAATAAAACTTTTGAATTCATTTAGTATGAGTATTAAATTCTCCCAATTTTCTCCAACTTGGAAAGTAGTTGGAGTGAGCTGGCCCATTGAATTCGTTCACTCCGCAGTCTAACAGAACGTTTCTGAAGTTATAGTCCCCAGCATGGCTTGACTTCAATTCAAATTGAAATTGCGATTATAATGCTCTTTATTCTCTAAGAATGTGTCCCTGTGCATACTGAAAGTCAGAGTGAACTGTCATAAATGCTGAATAATTTCAGTTTGCAGAGTCAGTTTATTTTAGCATTGAAAAATAGGTAGTGACAAGTACGGCATGATTTAGTGGGAAAGTAAGAGACTTTTCAGTCAAACATATAGGGCTGAAAGCTGATTTTACCATTTTCTAAAAGAAAGTTGTTTAAATTTCCAAGCCTTTCTTTCTGGCCTCTGAAAATAGGGACTCTATCACCCCTGGCTCTAGCTGGCCCATAAGGCTGGGGTAAGGACTGAATTTCAAATACTTCATGAAAGCAATGCATGAGCTCCAACATAACAGTGACACTACCACCACCCTCTTTACTCCTTGGGAGGGTAGAGGGGGCAAAGGAGAACTGTCATCACTTTTGCGTATTTCTCCTTACTCAGGACTCCTGAATATCTTTGACAAAATTAGGGAAAGGGAAATAATATTATCTATCTATATATTAATTATGTAACACATGACAACAGTTAGCTAATGTGCTTTATCGTGCTTTCAGATGTGCAATGAACCACATTAAACAATGATGGAGCTAAAGAAACAACACGCTTGTGCTTGGGGGCACCTGAAGGACTGACTCTTCCAAGGTCCTCCTCAAGGAGGAAAGGTCACACTGCCCAGGAGGTTGTGTGGTACCTCAACAGGTTGGCCCTATTCAGATTTGGAACTTACACAACAGCTGCTATAGAGACCCAAATATGTGTGTGAATCAACAGACTAATTCTAAAAACCCAGTCACCACAGAAAAATCTCCACATCTCTACCTTCATGTGAATACATTCTAATCCCCAAATCTCTTTCCAGTTTTACTCAAGTGTTTGGATAAATGCTTTCTCTATTCCAATTGTAGGATCGTCTTAATGAACTTCTAAATATCGCTGTTGTGCTTTTCTATGTCACGAAGCCCACACACATGTAGTTTCATTGTCTTTCGCAAAAATATAGCTAATCTCTTTCAACAGTCCTACATTTCTTGCAGGATAATGTCCTTCCCATAATGAATGGTCAAAACCTTGGGCTGTTTTTGGGTTTTCATTGCAATCGAGTGCCCAATCACACAAAATCTGCCTACGCAGTATCACTATCTGTATACTCCCATCTCTGTTATCCTAGTTTAAGCTCTAATTATGTATATTCTGGACTAGTCTAATAACCTCTCAGTTTTTTAAATTAAAATTTAGCAAATAATTTTTGAGAAGTTGGTCCAAATATTTATTAAGTTCTAGGGATTCCAGGAAATGGTCTTTGCTCTCATGGAGAGTATGACAGAAAAAACAACACAGGCAAAGATCCAAATTCTACCCATTTTATAGGACGCTCTGTATACCTAATCTTCGCTAAACACAGTTTGGACCAATCGCCCCTCTGTTCGGGGGAGGAAGGCAGACCTCCTCCCGTACAGGATCTGCCTCATTCTGGCCCCAGCTGTATTCTGTTTTGTTTTCTCTACATTGACTTCCATGAAGCAGGAATTCCAAAAACTTGAATGAATACTTCAAATATCATCCTGTTTTTTCAAGTTTGTAATCCTAATAATCTCTGTGCAGAAATAGGACATCATGGTTATGGAGACCTTAGAATCTATTCTAAGTCCATCACTTTATACCTCTGAGAAGTGATTTTATCAGGGACAAAAGTAGGACGCAACTGAGCCGGGGCTTCCCAGCCCAGAACTCTCACCACTATGCTGGGTGCCCCCAAATGCCGGGGCAGGAGGTGAATCACATGCCCTATGTAAATGTCTGGGCCAACAGCTGTGACATTCAGTGTCTTGATGTACTGTAAGGAGCTAGAGAAGATGCAGGGATTCCTCTGCTACAGCCACTGGTACTAATTCCCATTGTCTTGAGTAGAAATATCACTTCAAACAGGAGAGGGGCAAGAATGACAATCATGTTAAAGATGTGACTGGAGCTCCTCAGGAAGTACACAAAATGTAAGGCTGCAGGAGGGTCAGAGCCTGAATCCAGTGCGACTATAAGGTTAACTCCTGGGCTAATTCCTTTTCGGAGGAACCTCCCCCCACTCCCCCACCCCCACACTGCACACACATTCAGGCATCCCTTTACTTTGTCCGTAAGTCCCAGGGTCTGCAATGATTAAGCTCCCTCTGCACTATAATGATCTACTGCGCAGAAGACTGGTTTCATAACATCAGGGAACCCAACGTACTGTCCTTTTCTTTTATTCATAAGCATGTAATGTGGCCTTTTGGAATCTTTCTAAAACATATTTATGCAGGTGAGAAAAGGAAACTATGGAAAAAAATAATAATTCTCATTGTCAGCACTTCCTACAGTAAAATTAGTGTATCTACAGTAAATGGTGAGTTTCATGACCAGAAGTAAGATGAATCTGCATCTCAGAGACAACGCAGATTTGGGCTGTCCTTCAACACAGCGAAGCTCTGGGTGACAGCTCTCCTAAGGGAAAGGGAAAGAGATGCCAGGACCATTTTTTTCGAGATGCTACAGGCAGTTACATCCCTGAGGTTGGCCGAGTGGCGGACTGAGGGGGGGCGATACAGGTACGCGCTTCCTTCCCCCCCCTCGGCTGATTCTTTCAAGGGGAGTTAAATCTCAGTAACGTTAGATAGCGTATTTCAGTGGCAAAATATAAACAGAGTGTTAGGAGAAAAGAGTTGGGCTTACATCTTGTCCATTAATGCCAGCTAGTCCAGGGCCTCCTTTTTCTCCTCTTTCACCCTAGAAAGAAACAATGTATACAGTGAAAAAAATGTGACACCCCAGAACCTCTACTAAGAAAAAAACAAGAGAGTTATACTGTTTGGGTATTTAAAACAATCTGATTACTTTGCTAATCCCTTGAAAGAAACATTTATTAAAAACGATTCTGAGTCCTAAAACCGAAGAGAAGTCTAAAGGGTCAAAGAAAAGCTGCATAACAGTGATTAAAGGGCAGAAATAGAACAAGGATTAGTTATTTTTTTCTAACACAGAACTTTCTGTAGGGCAGTTTGGCAATATATACATAATCAAGGCTCTTAAATCTGTTTCATTTGGCCCAGTGATTTTGCTTCCAAGAATGTATCCTAAGGAAATAATCAAAGATGAAAAGGTTTAGGCACTAAGCTGTAGAGTGTAATGCTATTTATAGTAGTAAAAAAAAAGAGAAACATCCTACATGTCCAATGATAGGGAATAAATTGTCTAAAGAAATTATTATAGATATAATGAATATGATGTAGCCATTAAATCATGTTTATGAGTTTTATTTTACACTATAGGAGAATTTTTATGATGTAAAGACTAAGATACTATTAACAGATTGACTAATTCAGTAAATAAATGTTAACCAAGACCTGCTTTTATTACCTTAAAGTTTACAAATATTCAAAATGGCCCTTGATACCATCACTGATGACACATACCCACAGTGACATATATTTTTCGCTGCTATTTAAAAAGTCTGTACTTTCATTATCAAACCTTACACATCTGCAGTATAATTAAAAAAAAATTTTTACATGCCTGTTTACCTATCCATCTACCTACCTACCTACCTACCTGTGTGTCCATCTACAATGGTCTTACAAACAATACCGACAGACAGCAAAGCAGAGCAATGAAAGCCGTTCATCTGCGCATTCTGTGACTGTGGGTGATATTTTCCCCTTCACTATACTTTGCGGTGTTTTCAATTTTTTTAAAACAATGCACATGTATTATCTGCATAATCAGTAAAGTGTTTAAAAATAAAGCAATATGTTATGTACAGAAAGAACTCATCCAACCCTCCAAGCCTATCACATAGCACAGTGTGTGTGTGTGTGGTGTGTGTGCACATGTACACATGTGTGCACACACGTGTGTGTGTGTGTGTGGAGTGGTAGTAACAGTGTAGGTAGTAACAGTGATCTGTTTTGTGACACTAGGATGATTTTTATTCTTTTCTTTATATAGTCTGTTGGTCTTCTTTATTTTTTTCTACAATGACTACTATTGTTTTTATTCACAAAAAATAAAAGGAAAGCAAGCCCCTGATTTTAAGAAATAATACATTTTATATTCTACAAACAGAAATACACACATATAGTCCCAATCATCTAAACTGTGTATGATTACTATATTTAAAACACAGAATATGAAGTAAAAATAAGTTGATTACTAGAATATTAAATTATATATATAATATTTAAGCTGAAGCAAACTGTATATGGATGTTTTTATGAAGCAAGTTCAAGTTAGAATAAAGCTAAAAATTGTAAACTGAAATGGAGGGGTGAGGAAATACCCCATAGCTGTGCTGTTCAGTGTGGCAGCCACTAGCTGCATTTGGCCATATAAATTTAAAATTAAGACTAAATCAAATTTAAAATTCAGATCCTCACATTGCCCTAGCCACATTTCAAGTGCCCAACAGTGCCGACTCTACTACTGGACTGCGCAGATTAGACCATTTCCATCATCACAGAAAATTCCACGGGACAGCGCTCATCTAGATGTCACGTGGGATTATTCCATATAGCAAAATAATCTGTACAGCAAAACAGAATGAAGAGGCCCAGAAGTACACGGAAGAAAATATCAGTCTAGTCAGGGGATCAGAAACAACATGGTGTCCGGATGTTGACATAAAATGTGTTCAGCACAAGTTAATAGAATGAGTTGAAATTTTTGACACAAGAAGACAAATATTCCATCAATATCATCATTACCTTTCAGAATGTAACTAAAAATGAAGGCAATCTTTACTCAAAATTGATGGTTCTCATAGGCAGAAAAAATAAGCAACTCTACATAATAAAGAGACATTTGCCTGCAAAGGGAAAAATGCAAGGTTGACAGTGGTAATACAAATGAAACAATAACGATAGAACAGAGTTGATATTCTGATGGGGTTTATGCTGCATGGCAAGAGAATAAGACACATGGCAGGAGGCTAAGGAAGAAATACACTGCTCCAGTTTGGCTGCTGGCAAAAACATGCAACAGATTTTAAAAAGTACAATTTTTAACATAAAAATTAGTATGGGTACTGTGATTGAATAATGTTTTTAAAAAATTAATCATTTACTTTATTATTACCATTGTTAACAAACACTTTGAGAATGTTTACTATGTGTAAAGCATGTTTTAAACACTTTGCAATCATTTAACAATCTAGGAAGTATGAATATTACCTTTACTTTACAGATGAGGAAACCAGACAGAGGGTAAGTAGCTTGCCCAATGTCACACATCCTCCAAGGGGAAGGACCTGGTTCAGCTCAGGTTGTATGGCTTTAGGGTCTGGGCTCTAAAACTATTAGCTCATTTGTTTTTGAAGAGTTCAAGGATAATAGCAAAACACAGACTATTTGGATTTCTGCAGAGCAGAAGATAGTCTCTTACGATGCCCCTTAGACTAGAAAATAGAAATATAGGCCAGGTCATCTTACTACTGGGGAGTGTGTAACTGGCAGTGGAGTGGTACCCAATCAATGGCTATCTATCTATCTATCTATCTATCTATCTATCTATCTATCTATCTATCTATCTATCTATCTCTTATCTATCTATCTATCTATCTATCTATCTATCTATCTATCTATCTATCTATCTATCTATCTATCTAATCATCTATCCATCCATCTATCTACCTATCTCTCACTCTTTCTCTTTCTCTTTCTATCTCTTTCACCTATTAAGGTCTCTTCACCTTGGCATTGTTGACAATTCTTTGTTGTCCTCACGTTGTAAAATGTTCAGTATCATCTCTGGCCCCTATTCACTAGCGGCCAATAGCCAGCCTCTCTCCTAATTTCTCTACCCTCAGTCCTGACAACTAAAATTGTGTCCAGATATTGCCAAATTTCTCATAGAGGGCAAAATTGCCTCCAGTTGAGAACCACTGATATATATTATGAATAAATATATAAAAGATTCATGATATGAAATGTACAACAGACTGAAACAATATGCTATAATGAACAATATGGACTTTATTAGGAATCAATGTGCAATCTTTATTTAAATTACTTCTGGATGAGTTAGAGAGTCCACTTGAAAATAAAAATATTTAAGGAGCAGAAGAAAATATAATTGAACACAGCACAGAATTCATGGTAAGTAAAGTGTCCCTAGTATGGAACATAATAGAAAAAATATATTAGACAAAATATTAATTATACATTTGTAAGCAAAAATATAAATTGAACTGAAAGGCAAATGACAAAATATGGGAAAGCATTGATTTAGCACTCAATATCATTACTTTTAAGTGTTGCTATTAGTCATAAGAAAAAGAATAATATCTCAACTGGTAACTGAGTGTAGGATAAGTCAGGCAATTCACAACAAATTCAAAAAATGGGCTAGATGACAATAATTGATATTTTAACTAGTATTAATTCATCAGGTTATATATGGGGATGAGGGCTGCTCTAAAGCCTCTCCATTGGAAATTCCATCATCCTTTGAAAAAAAGCAGTGGGAATTCTATATCCAGACAGGAAAAAAAAAATGATGTTCAAGGGTTGCATACTTAATAAATCCTAAACAAAAGAAACCTGACAATAGCAACCAGCTGTTCCTTTCTTCTCCATTGAGAAGAAAATGAGTAAAAACAAAACCACAGCATTAAAGGTTTAAACTACAATTAAAGACAACTTATTTGACATCAGAGACTGTCAGAGAGTAAATGCATTTAGATTGTTTCTCAGTGTTCAGATAATTTCAAAAGCAAAAAGGATTCAAACACGAAATGAGTAGAACATCTCTGGAGATTTCTTTGAAAATCCAATAAATCATTCTAGTCTGATGCAAACTTAAAATGCAATCCCGACCAAAGGCAAGAAGATGAATGGGAATTCGATTATATTTAAGATTTTTCCAATACCCCCTCTTTGATTAAATGACTTTCAAAACTACACCAAAGGTTAATGTCCTTCCAATCAAAACTGCAGTGCTTTGACATTCAAAATACTACATTAGGTAAGTGTGAAACCCTTTACAAAGTTTGAATTAATCCATTATTATACACAATGGAGGTATTTACAAACATTACTAATATTTCAATAGATAACAGGAGCAATAATATACTAGGTTCTATTCTGTATTCCTCACCACACACCACTCTCAGTCTTTACATAGTAAGGGCTCATTTTAATTCCAGCTATAACCTTACAACTAGAAAATCAACAATGCAGAGGACATATGCAACTTCCACATGGCCGAAGAACTCCTATTGCCCAAGTTATTTGTTCAATTACTTTGATCTCATAGGGACTTGATAAACTTTAATGTATGAATTTTTCCTTTATGGATTGTCCTCTTAGTGTCATAGCTAAGAATTTATTTATAAATAAATAAAGTTATATATAATAATATATAGTGTACAATGTGGATAATATAGATTGAAATTATTTTTTACATGAATATCTTACTCCAATATTGTTATTAAAAAAAACTATCCATTCTCAGCTGAATTGTTTTTGCACCTCTGTTGAAAATAAGGTGTCCAGATACATGTAGTTATTTCTATAGCATATTATTTTATTATTTTCCATTTGTCTATCCTTACACTAACATTACACTTTCTTGATTATCTTTGTAATAAATGTTGAAATCAGGTAGTATTAGTCCTTTAGTTTTTCTTTTTTTCCCAAAGCTGTTTTTATCCATACCAGGTCATTTGTATGTCCACATGACTTTTAGATCACATTTAATGTAATTACTGGTAGGGTGGACACCCATGTGCAAAA